CATGGAACAGGGCAGTCCCTTGAAAATAACTTGAATTAATGGTCCAAATATTTTATCCTTAAAATTATGATTATTTGTTTTCAAATTTTATTTATTTTACGTGTTCATGGTGTCCATGTTAAAGATTATATATTTCTTAAAAACTTAGGTCCAAAATCCATCTCAACCGTGTCATATATATCGCAGGGAGTTTACCCGGTTCCCAATGTAATTTTATCACTCATGCACTGAGTCGAGATTGAAATCGGCCTTGAATTCTTCCACAAACACTAGAGAGCAAAAATCCTTGAGATGAATTAGGAGTGTACTAATTTATGACGATGAACAAAATCCTGACTATTTTGGTTTCTGTTTGGAAAGGCTATTTAATAATGAATAGTACAATTCTTTGCGCTTTCATGTTCGTAGTGGAATTGTGGCTTGGTCCCCTGCACCATTCATGTCGAGCACCTTTATTAACAAAGCTCTACCAAATTGGTCATAACGCTCCAGAAACCTTGTTTTTGCATATTTTTATATTCCTGAAGTGGAATTTTCCTATGTCCATATTGGGCCTTAGTTACATGTCCATGAAAGGAGTAAAAAGTAAAAGTAAGATTTGGCTTTAACGGCTCAAACTTATGGATATTGTTTAGAGAAATATATTTGAGAAAAATTTTAAAAAAAAGTAAAAAATATAACCATTTATTTTTTAGTACAAAAAGTTAACAATTACTAATGGCTGGTAGATCTAAAAGTGGCCAGTTAGGAGTGTGTTATTAACAAAACCCATGTTCAAAAGAATATTTCTCAATCTTTGCAACACATCTTAAATTTTAATAATTGACGGATTGTTTCTGTAAGTGTTAGTTCCTTGTAACAAAAGAAAATATTCTTATAGTTTACAATCCAAAAAATTTAAAATTCGCCGAGGTTCGATGAATCAAGTGATAAGTGATGGCCCCACATCTCAAATAGGAGTCTATCACCGACCACGCAATCGACCAATGGTGCTGGAGATGGTGGGCCCACCACTTTTCATGTTTCTGGTGGGCCATTATCCATCGATGAGGTGGTGATACACATCTAGTATTTTTTCCCGATGGAATAAACACTATTTCTATGTCAGTGGATGAAAAGCTCAAAGCTCGTACCATATTCTTCTTACTATCATTGAAAAATGGCCACCCCCTCTCATTCATGGAAACAGAGCTTGAACATGGCGCCTAGTCCTCAATAAACAGCAAGCAGCCACCGACTTCGACCCATATGAACCGAATTGAATTGGTGATTCCAATCTTACTTGCTCGATTCATATGGCGGGATAACCAAAAAATATAAAAAATAAAATGAAAAAGAAAATGGAAATGAGCAATTTCCAGAGTCCCTCCCGCCCCCCACCTGATCTAAACTGACTTAGGCGATTCGAAGTCAACCGTAAATACTAACCCGTTGCTACTCTCTCTCTCTCTCTGCACACAGCTGCTCGTTGTGAAACTGTGACATCTAAGTGGTAACGTTGGCGCGTTTGGATAGATTCTCTTCTTTACTTTTTATCACTGGTCTAATGGTAATCTTCAGCACTGCTATGCCATGTCCAGTGGGCAAGAAGCTCCCAACCATTCAATTTGCGTTCATTTGGTTAGCTTTTGACAATTTACAACACTATGTCCTAAGCTCAATTCCTACAAAAGATAGGGGCCTCTCCACACCGACTCACCCAAAAAAAAAAAAAACCTTCCAACCATTCAATTTGCAGAGCCACTAATCAATAGCTCCCGACATTAGCCAGTAATCAATTGCTCCCGACATTAGCCACTAGTCTAACAGTAGGCCAGTGGCCTCACAACCATAAACCTTTCAGACGCCAAGAGCTTGACTTTTGGGCCAAAAGATTTCGCATGAACAAAATTTCTTTCCCACGAAATTTCACCTCTTTTTTCCTCGAGCCTATTTTCCTAGTAGTAGCTAAAGATTATAAAACTTTAAAAATAAAAAAGGAATTAAGATATAAAAGGAAAACTGCCTGTACTTCTTCACCGTATATATTATACTTCCTCCATCTCCCAGCCATCCAATCAGAATGGACAGTTGAAATGGCTCATTCACAATGTCACGCTTATACATTGTTTTATTTTAATTTTTTTCTACAAAACATTGTGATACCTAATTTGGAGCATCCACCCCTCTTAAAGTAAAAAAAAAATTTTAAAAAAAATATTCCCCATAAAATAAAATGACTAAAATACTCTTAAAAGTTTCAGAAGTATTTAGGAACATTTTTATTTTTATTTTATTTTTTTAAGATTTTCTTTAGGCATGTCCCATACCGAATTTCAGATTCATATGATTTGTTAAAAAGTAAAATAAAATAAAATACTATGAGACGCCAAATCTAGATCACATGGTCAGTGGCTCACTTGTGACCTTTTGTGCCAACCGTCCAGATGGCTGGATAGGAGGAGAAATATATGAGATGCATATGTTGGACAACTATGGAATGTTTTCCCAATAAAAAATACAGTTGTTTAAATCAAGATCAGCCAATATCATACTGTCATTCCCTAAAAAGATTTCCCATATCAACAAACTCTTATCCACATTCAGAGGCTTCATTTTTACCTTCTTTTTGAATAGTATGTACCCAAAATTCGAAGACAAGCTGAAGTTCGCACTGATAAGCGCCTTTTAATTGAGCCATGGGCGGTTAGACAAGAAACCACTACAAAGAAAGATGAAAGATCATGCTTTGTCCGCAAAAAAATTATATTGACTACAACAAAGCACAAGCTTCTGCAACATGACATTTCCAGCTTTTTCTATGAAAGTACAGGTACACGCACATCAATTGGACTCTTAAATCCATCATGATCGATGTAGCAATAACATCAATCATACTCTAATTCATCAGGGGTAACAGGTCTCTTTAAGGGGATTATGGATTTCTTTTCAACATCACGAGATAAAGCTTTTCTCATATCTGTAATGGCAGACAGAAGCAAAACATATGCGTCAGACAAACAGGCCCCAAATCTGATCTTTAAGAATCACCATGATGGCCAATAAAGAAAAGGAATAAAATTCATTTCAATGGCTCCTAAAGTGAGAGAAAACATGATGTCATAGTCATTGCACACTGAAACCATCCTCTACATATATTATTACCATGATGGCCACATAAGGAAAGGAATAAAACGCATTTCAATGGCTGCCTAGGTTTGGAAAAAATACAATGGCATGGTCTAGCATGAAGCAATCTCCCAACCCATCCTAGCTTGGCAGCTTTCCATGATGGCCAATGGAAACAATGAAATAAAACCCATTAAAATAAGTGAAAGTGAAAGAAAAGATGATTCTATGGTCCATCACTCACCCAAGCCATCCTCCTCGCCTGAGTAGTAACGCAGCACACGTCGATAGATAACATAACCCAACTAAGACCAAAGATGTCAATCATAGCATCAGCATTTCATACAGCAATCCCGATAATGATGTCAGCTTTTCCTAATTCCATACTTTGATTCTATGAGGTCGGCTAGAAAGCAAAAATCGATAAGTTGCCAAGAAAGCACACCTTTTCATACATCTTAATGGCCGGCATATTGGATGCCCTCACGAAAAGATCCACAAAAAAGGCCTTATATCTGGAGACAACATAGAATGTAATGATGCATGGATAGGACATTGCATGAATATTAGCAACACAGACAAGAAATGGACATCATACACAGTGGTTCAAAATCATTGATAGGTGACAAAATACTTTAATAAACTTTTAAGAGGAAAGGACAATTAAAATGCATAAAAAGGTGACGAGCAAGAAACAGCATCCCTACAATTCGAAACATTAATGATGATGCATGGAACAATGAGTATGAGATGTAAAGGCATAACAGAATTTATCAGGAGAAGAAAATGGATGAAGAAAATCATGTAGACAGTAAATGGCAAAAATCCACTGCAAGGCTATATACTTGTCTGACAAAGTTTGGATGGAGCTGACAACTTGGTTGTTGCGTGTGTGTGCTTGGGGGGGTTTGGATGTGTTTGCCAATGTACATTCTACGTGTTAAGCATTCATTTCATGCAGTGTTTCCATAAATTAATTTGTTTGGGTCAGTGTTTTAAAATGCAGCCGCATCAGGCGCTATGCGCTGGGCAGCGCATCGAAAAATCCATGCATATGCGGTTTGGAGAGATGCACCGCATCTCTTTGCATCAGAGCCACATCCTGCATCTCACCGCATCAGGCCGCATAATCTTCCACCATTTTTTTTCTAACTCTACCCCTCGAGCAGGGGTATTTAGGTCATTTTGGCCTTCGGGGGAAAGAGTTTGGGGGGTATTAAACAGCCCGAGCCCAAAAAACATTTTTCAACCACATTCGTGGCTTTTATTGGATTGATTGAACCAAAAAACAATTTTGGGGGGAAATTTTAGTTGTTGAAGTTCTTCGATTTGTGCATTTGTTGATGCTTGGTTGTTGATCTGTATCTTTTGGGTGTTGATTTGAGTAGAGGGTTTGAAGGGTATTAAACCCCCCAAACAAAATGATGATTGTATTAACTCTTTTTGAGCTTCACTTTAAAAGTCTTTAATCTTCATGGACAATTTGTAGTAGTTTGTAACTTTAAAGTTTGTGGTTGTAGATTTGTGCTCATGGTTGTTCATTGTTGAATGTTTTATGAAGCTAGTTTCAAGTTTCTAGTTTCTATTAAGGGATAGTAGATACAGAATCTCCATCAGCTAATATTTTTGGAGTTAATGAATAAACCTAATACCTATTATCACATATACCACCTCCACATTTTTTTTCTATGCATTAACCTATTTTTTTAGATTTTTTAGAATTTTTTATATTTATTGACCGAATCACTGCGATGCACCCGCATCTGGACTGCATCAAGCTGCATCACCGCATTGGCCCCCACATCGCCTTCGGTCGCATCCCACATTTTAAAACACTAGCTTGGGCGTACACATGTGGATTTGCATAAGAATTTCAATAGCAAATATTGTGATTGGGTTATTGTTTGTGGAGAATTTTATCATGGTATTCTCTAGAGGCTTTTTCGTACTATGAAGTAATTGGGAATTTGATGGAGTATGTAGTGACAACAACATTCATACGTAATGGGCTGTGAGTCATGCATAATGGGCTGTAACAGTCATGCAATAAGGCATAATGGACTATAACTCCTATGCATGTTGACCTACCGGTGTTGTAACTCTCATAGATTTATATATATATATATATATATATATATATAGGGCACATTGCCCCACAATTTGTGTAGAATAAAAAAAAATCTACATTTTCTTTATATTGTGCTTGAATATTACTGTCTTCGCTCTCTCAATCTTAACATGGTATCAAAGCAGGACTTGAAACCCTAGGATATCCAGTACTTCCAGCTGCGGTGTATCAACAATCTCGTATTTCCAACATGATCATCTCACTTTTCCTTACCACTAAGTTATGAGTGTTAGCCCTTGGTCTACGCGGATGTAAGTTTTTATCCCAAACTCCTTTCTATTTCAGCAACCTCATTTACAACAACCTCATATTTCCAGCAATATCACATTTCAAGCAACATCACATTTGAAACTAAGGAATTAGTACACCATAGTTGATGGAAACACCTGGGAACCCGAATCGTTTTAGGAACCGGAATCGTTGAATCGCAGCCGGCTAGAAGATTCTTGTCTTAGGAATCGTTGTCCGTACAATAGGAATCGCTAGAAACGAGATTCCTTGTTTTTGAGAATCGTGCTTCGACCAAAATAGATCCAAGTTTCATCTACCTATGGAATCAAGATTCCATCTCTTTGGAATCAAGACTCCCATCCCCCTGAAATCGACACTCCAGGAGTCAAGATTCTTTAATATACAGAATCGAGTTTCCAACATTCATGGAATAGAGTTTCTGACATATGTGGAACATAGATATGTTGTTGTTTCGAATCGTGATTCTAACATATTTGGAATCAAGTTTTTAAAGTATATAAATCAGAGATCCATGCCAATTTGAGATCGAGATTTATAATAATATGGACTATGGAAAGCATTTGACGACCCCTATCAGAAATCAAGATTTCATTTTTATGGAGAAGGAAGCCACAAGCACATCTTGAGCCTCATCAACTTTAGAACTTATATTGGATATCTCTTATTAGAAGGTTTCTCGAATTTTAAAGTGATTGTGTTGACTATTGAACTTATGGTCATTATATACAAAAGACAAGTATTTATAAATTGTGATTTTGACTTCATTATTACAAAGACAAAATAGGATTATGTCTACGCCATGGTTTTACATTTAATTGTACGTATTGTATTTACCAATTATATTTTAGATTTAAAGCAAAAGCCATCCAAGGTGGCACAAGTAAAATAATGAAACCCTGCAAACACTAGAAGCATTCGAAAGAAGATGTCGACTCCAATTGACACGGAATCAAGATTTAATCCTCGCTAGAATCCAGATTCGATATATTTAGGAATGTCTACCCGCAATTAATGGGTTCAAGTTTTCAAAGATGTGTTGGATCGAGATTCCAAAATTAAGGAATCGAATTTCCTTGGTTTCGATAAATGGTTTCTAAAGATACGTTGAATCGAGATTCCGAAATTAAGGAATCAAGTTTCCTTGGTTCCGAAAAAAATTTTCTAAAGATGTGTCGAATCAAGATTCCATAATTAAGGAATTGAGTTTCTTTGGTTCCGAAAAACAGTTTCCGTAGAATTTCTTAACGGAAACGCAGAATCGGGTTTCGGAACCGGAAACGCAAGGTGGATGGAGAGATTCCACTAACTATGATTAGTAGCTTGAAAAAAATGTCTTGGGGTTTCTAGTTAAAGAGAGGACAATGTCAGAACTCAAACCCAATATTTCCTTGGGTAGTCAATTTGACCACCCAAGAATGATGCATACTACAATTAAGCTACATGGGACAAACAACTTAATAGTCCCAAATCGGCCAAAATGTTCATAGGAAGACGGAGGAAATTACGTTATATCACAAGAGAAGTGAAAGAGCCTCCAACAAAGGATCCATCCCATAATGAATGGGAAAGTGAGAACTTGACAGTAATGGTATGACCCCTTCATTCCATGCAGCCAAGTATCAGGAGGGGTCTGTTATTTCTTAAAATTGCAAAGGATATGGGAAGCAGTAGCCGAGATATACTAATTGCATCGTGAAATAGTGAATTTGCAGCAAGGAGAAATGACTGAGGAAGAGTACTTTGGGATACTAAAGCATAAGTGGGAAGAAATAGACCACTAACAGCCTATTAATTCCATCGTTGATGACATTCAAAGATAGGCCAAGCAACGAAGGATCTTTGAGTTCTTAGCAGGCCTACATCTTGACTTTGGACTTCGAATAATACAAGTTCTAGGAAAGGGCAAATTGACCGCTCTTAAATCAGTCTATTATTATGTAAGAGGGAAAGCTAGTAGAAAGACTATTGCAGAAGGATAAAACTCAAGCATCCATCCTGAACAATCAGCCATTGCAACAAGCTTCAAGAAGGGAAAAGCAAGTACGAAAGGACCAAATTGTGCCTCACTTTCTCTTGCCAAAAAGGAGAAACTCAAATGCTCCCATTAAGGTATGAGGGGACACACCTACGTTGGGACTTGCATTCACACTCAAGACCAAAACTAGGAAATGCAAGTGCCTATACTATATCGAGCGAGGGGGAGGAAACCTATAAACGCAACCCAATGCATCCAATCCATGAGATCAGGCCATCAAAGATTTGCAACACCAGTTGACTGCTCTCAAGGCTTCACTCAACTCTAAGACACCGGTAAAGCAGCCAGGTACATATGCAACTGCAAACTATGCCTCCAACTCCACCTATGCTACACCCTAGATCCATATGACTAGTAAGAAATTTGGTTTCTTGTCTTTTTCTCTTGCTTCTCGTGAAGTAAAACTTGCTCATGGATCCATGACCAGTCCCATTGGGAATGGTACATACCATAGTTACCAAGAGCCGGAGCAGGAATGGCTCCGGGATCGGGAGCAATAACAGTGGATCGAAGGGTGACAGAAATTCCGCCATTCAAGGAGCGCACTCTGTGCCACATATCAATCCTGGGGCTGGGTCCCATATATAAAGGATCTCGTTTCCGATGCTCATGGGAGCGAGATCCCATTTCGCAAGACCGTCTTTCCCACTTCTCATGGGATCTCTACACCAAATACCCAAAAACCGCGATCCATATATATTGGGGTCCTCAATTCATAAATATAAAGGATCGCAGTCCCAATGCTCACAGAAACTAGATCCCATTATGCAACAAATGGGATTCCCTTTTCGTTGTGTTAAATGCTTTAATTATTTTAATTCTTAATATGATATTTTACTATGTAATTTAATTCTTGATGTTTGGGATTAATATACGATCAGGATGGAGATCCACAAATACAGGGATCAAGAACCTGATAAGCATGAAGATCCATAAATATAGGGATCAAGATCACTTAATCGAGGAATAGCGATCCGAACATGAGAGGGATCAAGATCCACAAATAAAGCAATCGAGCGCCATGATAAGGTGGGATCGAGGTCCCTATTAATAAGGAATCAAGATTCCGTGAAAAGGGGGCGAGCTCCCTCGAAAAAAAA